CAGGGTTCACATGATTAATGTTTTACATGAAAAGTTTTGAGAAATTAGTCGCCGCAATTGACAAGCGCGTGCATTGAGCAGCAACAGCAACARCAACAACAAGCAAGTAGCATTAGGAAATGAATTAAAAAGAGACAACGGTAAAACAGAAAGTGAAATGAAAAACGCTACCTTGTTGCAACACAAAAACGACCGGTGCGCGCTGGCAATGCACCCGCACACACACACACACACACATTATAAATCAAACGAAATGTCAATGCTTGCAAAAATTACCGCAAGCAACAAAAGCGCGCTTTTATTTTTATTACTACACAAATCGTTTTGCTTTTTAATATTTTTTGATTGCTTGCGCGCCAAGCGGAGCGGTGTGTGTGGGTGCGTGTAAGCGGCGGCGGTGGCACGTCAGCAGCGAGTAATGACAGGTGCGCTTGTGCGTTTTCATATTTATATATTTATGTATGCATAATTGCACACACTACCGTAGCGCGCCCCTCAGCACACCGCACCACCGCTGACTCTGGCGGGAGTGTGAGAAAAACGCCCAAACACGTTGTTCGGTTAGCTGCTTGTTTGATTGCAGCTTTTGTTGTTGTTGCTTGGTGTAAATGTATATATACAATATAAGAATGTGTATATTTGTACATATACTCGCCACTTGTCGACACCACAGCAGTTTTCCCAAACAAATTCAATGAAAACAAATTTAATTTACTCGTTAAACTAAGCGAACGCCCTTCAATCACTCAAATGTGTGTGTAGCCATGTACATAAGGCGAGTTACAAACCCCTGTGTAAATACAAAATTCTACGCTAATGGAATGTCTCGCTAACATACTTATATATGTATACATATGTATATGGGCGATGAATGTGACTTATTGATTGAATATATTCTCCAGGTGCACGGCATATAAATTTTGAAAAAAAAAATAATGTCGAGGTCTACCTGAATATTTCAGAATTTTACATTTGAGTAGTTTTGCTGATAACAGATAAGAAAAGTTTTTTTTTTAATATTTTCATCACTTTATGAAGACAAATATTTACATATTTACCTAGTATATATAATTTTATATTTTTATAAATGTTTAGGGTGAGATAGAACGCATTGGAATAACTAAAACTAGTTCTGAATGTTGCGATGTGATAATTTCTAAAAAAAAATATATATTTTACGAACTCGAGCATATTCAAGCACTTAAGCGGCGAGTGTAAATATTTATTGAACTTGTCGGCAGCAAAGAACCTAAAACCTGAGCATTAAATATATTTTAAGCAGAAAATAATACAACAAATGGTAAGTTCGGTCGGATATCAAAAGAACATACATACATATATATGTACATATATGCCTGCAGCGCAATATGTTCAATACATTACGTAGACTAGTAAATATCTGCTGCTGGCACTTCGGCAAGGTCAACGAGAAGTTTAAAAGAAGTTTCACTTAAGTGAAATGAACCGGCTACTCTTATAGCTACAAACATACATTTGCATATTACTAAGCTATTGAATACATAAGCTCGAACATGTATATATGTATGCGTATTTATGCACACGGCTTGTGAAATATCAGGTAAATAATATGTGGAAGCATTTCTGATATACATGTGTATATGGTAAATGTGTATATTACGGTAAAATATACACAAAATTTTCGAAATATGTATACACATGCATTAATATATATATAGATATTTTGTATATACATTTGTATATGTTTAGAACAAACTAGTACCTCTAAGCGATTGCCGCTTATGTTAACCCCTCGTGCATAGTTGTTGATGAAATAAATGATGTGATATGTTAATTTATGCTCGGCATGCTCACGAAATAAATTATCGTCTTTTTCGCGAACAAATATTACTAAATTTAGCGATTACACAGTGTTTCGTAAACAACCAATTTCGTGGAAACGAAACTTCGTAAGTAATATTTGTCGGGTTTCTAAGCACACACTTGTACTTCGTTCTTGAAATATAACATCGCTGTTGTGGTTTAATGTTATTTTAAAACAGTTTACAACGTTCTGTGGTCAAATTCATCTCTATTTGCCATTTTCAGGTTCGAAAAAAGTCAATCTCTGAGAGATTTCGCCATGGGAACTGTTTTCATTGTTTCCATCAACCATTTTAAGGCCGCCCTGCTCCTAACATTAGTCGGTACGGCGCAAGGTCACGCCAGAAATATGAGCGAAAGCACACCAAAATTAATGTAAGCGCCAATTAATACTTTGGAAGGTCAATATAAACACTTATGGCGATACAAATTGTCAGTAGAGCGGAGTGAATCGAACGAACAACTGGTTTAAGCTTACGTTAAATCCCTTAATGGAATTATATCAATGCACTAATTCAATGAATTAGTCAAGAAAATTCTAAAAATATATTGGTAATATTGGGTAGTCGAAAAAGTCTTTTCGCGTCTGCAGAACTTAAGCGAGAGAACCATTGTTGTGCAATACGAACTGATACAGCGTCATCTCTGTAAACTTTACAAATTTTATTGGCAGCTTGCGTGGCATTCTTCTCTACGACTGCACCGAAAACTATTGACAAAATACGAAAAGACTTTGTCGACTACCCAATATTTGTTTAGAAGATTGTATAAGATTAAAGAATTTTCATATTTAAAACTCATTTTGAATTTTGCATGATTTTTGGAAAGAATTTAGATTTCTAACTGCCTGCTAATTTCAATGCATTTGCTAATGGCTGTATCATATGCAATACATACAGGTATAGCAATCTATATTAAACTACAATATATCCGGTAATTGATCAAATTTAATTGAAGATTATGTAGATGCGTTTGTGTATATGAAAATATATATAGGTCCATATTTTATGAGGCATAAACGGAGCCAATATGTCACTCAAAGTGTCAACTTAAGTGCAGCAATGCAGCTGCATACGCTGTTGTATGTCTTTGTTGGTTGTGGTGTCGACACACTATTATGACAAGTGTCACAGAACTGTCAAGTCTCGGCGACACGCAACTGAATGCAAAGGCAGTTATGCGACTCAAAACGCCACGCATGCAATGTTCTAATTGCTCACCGCTCATCTGTGTTGGCATCTTGGTTGCTGGTTGCTGGTCGCTGCTTGCGGTGTCAATGCAATATTTATGCAAGTTGTTGTTGTTGCTGTTATTCCTATCTACCGCATATGAATTCATTCATAGCAAAGTGAGCGAGTTTTTATTGCTGCTTTGTTCTTCTTTTCGTTTGATTCGGTATCAATGCGAGTTGTTGGCGCTTGAATGCAACACTCTTTGTGGTTTGGCATTTTCGTTGCCGTAAACAATTAAAAGGTAAGCTCGTATTTATTACAAGTTTATATATATTTACGTACTTATGTAGGTAATGAATGTGAAGAATTACAGCAAAATGGAAACCGAAACGTCTGCTTGGCACATAAAAATCTCGACGTGGAACACTGCACTCGTGCGCTGTGAGGGTTACAGCATTTAGAAGCGATTTTATTGTAAATATAAGAGTCGGCTAACGGCAAAGGCTATTCAATTTTTCACTTCTACGAGCAATGAGCACGAAGGCAATGACTGACCAACTGTTTTATGAGTATTTGAAGTATTTTGGTTATAGTTACATATATGGACTTGGGAATGATGTATAAAAGGCAGGTGCTAGTTTCTGCTTAGCCTTACAACATTCAATACTTCACATATAGAAATATACACTTTTATGTCAAAGTCATGCGATTTCCCATGCACATCATCAATGTGCACTTAAACTCAGTGGAATCCGTTTCAATCGCAATGAACGTATTTTGATTATTGAAGTGTACACTATATACTTGTATGTAATGGGAGGAAGGCACGAATAATTATTTAATTGTACTTGAGCCACAGTCTGACTCCCTGTGGCATTGTACAGAGTTCTACAGCGCTCAGTCAACGGTCGGCGGACGCTGCAGGTTGTCTAAAGTTTAAATACTTTTCTTGACAGTGCCCTGTTGTTGCTTATACAAATATGTACATATACATAGTTCGTGCAGCTTTTTGTTGTAAACATGTGTCATTGTATGTCAAAAACGTTTTTTTCACCTAACTAATCGAGACAGATATGGAGTTAGCTATCATCACCTAAAATGCAAAACAACGTGTCATCATTTTCAGCCTCCGCTTTCACATATAACCAATATATAACCATTTTATAACCATTTTATAACCATTTTATAACCAATATATAACCATTTTATAAATAAAACTCAAATTTTGTTTATATGAGTGGGTTCCAATACAACGTTTTTCCTTCGCCTGTAAATTTATGATTGTAAATAATTAATGCACTACTTCCTACTTTAGTTAACATATTGGATAGCCGAAAAAGTATTTTCGTATTTCTAATCAAACTTCAACTTTTTTAAATTTGGTCGACTACTTTTTGCCATTTTTCAACTACAGACATTATTCCACCACTGTTAAACTTTCATCATTTTGAAAAAACAAAATGCCTTCGTTTCACACAAGCCCATTTCTAATAAATAATTTTATTCTACATATTTAAACAAGTGGCAAAATTATTGTGACAGAATAAATATTTGTTTCAAAGTGTTAAAGATAGAAATTGTGATGGCAAAAACGTGGAATATTTGAAATATAAAAAACAACTAAAAATTCAGCCATAAAAGTGGTATAGTTTCGTGAAATAAGGCAGGCGCTTTGTATTCGTAATGCAGTTACTAGCACACAACCACATTGATATATGGGCACTTTTCTACTGGGCAAGATAACGGAAACGCCACTTGTTTAAAAGGAAGACGTGACGATAGAAGCGATAAACAAATATCAAATGTGTATAGTTGCTTAATAAATAGTTGTCTGATAGGCTTGATAGACCGACTTTTAGCAAAGCTACTCAACCGACAACCAAGTAACCCAGATAAGGCGCTGTGGAATGCGAAAACCACTTAAATACTTATTTTCATATTTTATAAGCATGTGTTTGTAGCTAAAACTAATATTATTAGGCTTACCGCTTGGCTGCAATTCCTTGGAATAGACGCTTTGACACTTGTTGCGTCGTTATGGGACTGCCGGTGTTGCTGCGTTGAGTGCCGTTATCCGTTGGCCGCAGCGGCAGCGACATGCCATTCGTACGCGGACTCATACTGCCACTTGCAGCAGTTGAGCTTGGCGAACGGCGTATTAGCGGCGTAGAGGTGACGCTCGCGCGCCCCGGCACTCCACTGAACCGTCCCGTTGACGTCGTGTTTGTTGTGGCATTGCTGCCAGCATCACCTGTAGCACCTACCCCATTGCTGGGGCGTAGTATTGTTGACACTTTTGATTTCACTTCTTTCAAATTCTTTTTTGGTAACGCTTTGTTGCTTTCAATTTTATTCATCACTGCTTCCCATTTATTGGGAGTCTGCTTTTTGCGCACATTTAATGATGATGGCGCGCCGATATCACATACACTCGCGACCGACCCGGTTGATGTGCGTTGTTTAGGCGAATTACGCGCGGATGCGAATTTCGACGTGCGCGGCGAGCGTTTGTTTGTGCCACTCGCGGCGTTTGTGGCTTTTGCGGCAGCTGCAACAGCGGCCTCTAATGCAGACCGATGTATATTTTTGTTATTGTTGCTTTGATTGTCTACAGACAGCGAGGTTGTCGAAGATGACGTTGAGGCGCAAGCCGCTTTTGTGCCAGCTGTGCCCGTTTCCGAATGTGTTTCCCTTTCGATGAGTGCGGAACCACGAGTTGCCGATAATCCGTATGTGTACTTATTTCCCACGTTCTCTACTTTAGCACCATAGAATGCGGCGTTGTTAGCCGCGACTGTTGAGAGCGAAGTTAGCGACGCGTGTTTACGCGGTGGAGTAACATTCAGCACTGACTCGTGCTGTTGGCTTTCGACGCTGGCCGAGCATTCATCGCCAGAACGACTGTTGACGCCAGCGCTGTCGTTTCCAGTTGTGGAGAGGCGCGATCGTCTGGCGTGCTCGGCACTTGCTGGACTCAATATAGTGTTGTTGAGGGTATCGGTGATATTCAGCGCTGTAGTGCTCTCATCAAAAGCTTCTTCCAGCGAGGAAAAGCTTTTGCAGTCTGCGTTCATGGTGTTGCCGTCAACACTGCAGTACGAAGTGCGATTGGAGAGCGTCGCTGCTGAGAGACGATCGGTACTCATGCTGCTATGTATCGTTGAAGATGTTTGGCTGCTACTCAACTGACCTTGACCGAGTGTTGTGGCAGCAACATTTCGCAGCGTTGTTGTTACAGTTACATCGCTGCCAGCCATAGTTTCACTTTTGTTAGCATTGCGCTCGCTGTTGATGGCATTTTTACAAGCTTCCCGATTACTCTTTACCGTTTCCGTGGAATCGCCATCACCCTCGGGTGACATATCCATTATTGCGTCTTGCGTATCTTGGCGCCGCATTTGTGCCAAATCATCATCGCACCGATTCTCAACATCTGTGAATATGCCTGACGATTCCATACAAGAATCTTCGGGATCTTCAGATATAAATACGGAGGCCGCTGGTTGGAGCATTGGACCATATAGCTGTCCATCGATAACTTGGGCGCGACGATCACCACGATGAAATATGTCATCTGCATCGGATTCTGTGAAAAAGTCAGAGTCTGTCATTGGATCTTGCCGGCGCACCAATGGCATTTGTTGCTGTTGAAGTTGTTGGTTAAAACTAGGTTGTCGTGAAACGTGACCGCCTTTACGTGCCGCAGGACCATTGGACGGCGAATGATCGCAGGCGCCGCGCGAAGCCGGACGTGACATTTCGCCGTCGCCTTGATAGCCCGTATCCAAGCTGGTGACACTGGTAACACTGGTGATGAAGCTGGTGGAAATCTTTGAGACGTTCGATTTCGTCATTGCATCCGATGTTTTTGAAGATGTATCGATATCTGTATGCGTGGAGATCGTTTCAGCTGTGCTGATGGAACTGGACTGCAATTGTTGTTGTTGCAAGTGTTGTTGACGCTGTTGCAGTTGTTGTTGATGTTGCAGACTTAAGCCGGATTCACAAATATTGGACTGATTGTGTTGTTGTGACAACAAAAGTTCTGTCATATCAGTCTTTACCTCAACAGGATCTAGTGGTAGCTCCTCCGGTGACGGTGTTTGATCAATTCGCATGTGATGCATTGCCATTTTGTTTCCATTATGTGACAGGGGCAATTCCAAGTTATTGGTGTTGTTAGTGTTGGTGGAATCAAGAAATTCTTTCATTTGATCGGGTGTCAAAATACCCAAACTTTCATCCAATTCGAAGGATGTTTGTCGCCGCAAAGGCTGCAGTTGTTGCTGCTGCTGTTGAGTCTGCAATGCAGGCGATTGTGAGTGCACGGCCATCGAACTGTTGGCAGTGGGATTGCCAGCAGCGTTCGATGAAAGTGACACATCCACCAAGTCAATTGAGCAATCAAGGGTGGACTCGGTAAGGTCCAAGCCAAATGAGTAACGAGATTTCTGTTTAGCATCCGGATTGTTGACATCTTGCAGAGAAGATGCGCTAGCAATTATTTGGGGTTGATTACCATCTCGCACTGAATAAAAGTCGTCGATACGCGCGCCCATAGCAAGCAAAGCATTCGCATCTACTTTCATCGGCTCGCTCAAAGACTCATCTTCGGGCGTACATGTGGGCAACACCGAATCACTTTGAGCGCCTTTGAGTGATATTTGAGGTGAAGCAAGCAGATGTGTACTATCTTGGAACTTCATTACCGAATTGTATTCTGGAGTGTTATGTTCCGAGCCGATGTGTTGATGTTGCGTCATATACAATAGTTGACTCGTATTTCGTGAACCCAAATATGAGGGGTTCAGATAATCTTTAGTCAAGTTCATCATATGTTTAGACGGCGACAGTGCATTAGTGAGATCAAGCAATCGTTCCGAATTCACTGTGGAATTAAGTGGCAGTTTCATATGAGCTTTTTCTGGCGCCAGCGCTTTCAAAGTACTATTCAACTCATCGGTCTCGGAAGAAACTGTACAGTCCAATAGATTATCACGTGTCTTCTCGTGTTCACTTGCAGTATCTGATTGTAAAGTGAGATCCATTTCTAAGAAACCCGACGGCGCAGACACATCTTCCAGTAATTGAAGATTATCCAGCGAGTCCGGATTGGAGTAAGTGGCATTAGTCACTGGAGAAATGGCATCAGCTGAGTCTATGATTTTCGTTGTACCCAAAGACGCAGTGGTGTCGAAGAGAACAGTATCGCATGAGAACAATTGGGGCTTCTGCGTAAAGGTCTCCGACGATGAGACCACATTCATAGTTTGACCAAGCAAAGCAGGTGCATTGAAAGTAGCCGTAAGGTTGGGCTTTAATATTGCTTGCGTTGCATTCGGCGAGTATTGGTTATTAAGGCTAATGGTCACATCGTTTGTCGTCTCATCAAATTGTATTGGGCGCTTTATGTCTGCCTCGAACGTCTCTCCAAATTGCGCTGTTGGATTGGCACGACTACTATCCAAACTCTGGGTGTTATATAGAGCATGGCGGGCATTGTTGCTAAGCAATTTCGTTGTCTCGTTAATATCCGGAGGACGGATAATACGTGTAGTTGTAAGCGACCCATTTGTTGGTGGTGCAGGCGTGGATTGTGTCAGTAAACTTGGTGAGAATTGTGTTATGTCGTTGGGACTATCGGTGCGTACAAACGTATCGGATCGCGTTAGCGGACGTGGTGTGGCGAAATAATCCGCCTCAGCAGGCACAACTGGAACCGACGCTTTTATTTGCGGCGTTTGCTTTCTTATATTTTTAGACTGTGCCAAAACGTGTGTCTTATGAACTGGCGGAGGCGGCGCCATTTTCTCCGACTTGCCAATCCATTTCTTGAGCGCTGTGGTGGTTTTCTTGGTAACCAAGTTCACTGCATTGGTGATGTGATCCCCAGACGCACTACGCTTCAAAGCATTCGCACTCACAATGGACGGCCGAAGACCAGCCAATGTCGAAGGACGTTTCTGTGGAAATCCAACTGTAGACGCACGCTGAAGAATTTGCGATGTACGTGCTGCCAAGCCAGTGACATTGTGTGCGGTTGAGCTGGGCGGTCGCAAGCTGCCCGGTAGTGGGATGCGTGAGCCGCCATCTAGACGTGGTATGCGCGTCGAGGTTGAATCCTGTAAATTGAGAAAAAAAATATTGTTGAGACACTGCTGAAATATGGTTGTTCTCATTAAATATTAAAACAGATATATGCATTTGTATGGTATATACATATTTTCTAAAATATTTAGTTTTGCTGGTAAATTCCAGGAACGTGTTGCTATGCCATGTTTGCAATACCCTAACTGCATGCCGAATTTTCTCAGTGCTTAAAGCAAATTATGTGCAAAATAATTTTCAGAGTAGAAAGCTGGTACTCGGCGCCAAGAAGACGAGAGTCAGAAATTCGCCAATGGCAAAGAGCCATTTTCAGCGCCACTGCCCGACTCTTCTTGGCTGTGGTACCGAATTCAGTGTCTGGCTCTTACGCCACAAAACTCTCTGTATCCTTCAATGATGGGAGTGAATTTATGCTTATTTATTTTATTGTTTATTGGGTTAAGACATCGGTTGAACATAAATTAATTTTAATAATTACAAATTCAGTTATTTTTCCATTTTAGAGAGGCTGTGCAAACTTTCTCTGTTGTTAAGCAAACAATTGTTAATCATCTTGTAAGTAAAATGTTCTTTGCCCACTTGGAAACCTAGCAGAAAATTCGACTATGTTTCAATAATTTCTTTGACATTTATTTGGATGTTAATAATTCTTCAGATGATACTATGAATAAGTAAAATGAAATGCTTTATGCCCTTATACATGTATTTATTTACTGCGTTTTTAGTATTCAAATTACTGTTGATTTTTCACTTATCTCTGCGCATTGACGCAACAACAAAATAACACTTGAGTCGTTAACGCGCTGTAAAGTCAATAGCAGCATTCCGGAAAAATAGAACAAAAGGCAAATACTCGTCGGCAGTAATAAAGTTAAGCGCCTATATCACACACATATACAAACAAAATTTCTACTCTGAGGATACTATTAATAATTTACATGCATTTGCACGCGCTAAAATGGGCAAACACAAATATATAAGTAAATGCGGGGGCCATGGCAGAGCAACCATTTTACACAAAATATAAATAAGTGAAGAACAACAACCTCGGTATAAAAGTGATGTATTGAGCTACTCTTAGCGGCACTTGTAAAAGCCGTGAAAGCCGCCTTTGGAGGACAGAATCGCAGTGTGTGGCAAACTCAGAAGAATTATAAATATCACACGCCTCTCTGCCACGAAAGCACATGCACAGATGTACGTTAATATATATATATATATATATATATATTGTATGTATGTATAGGTGAGCATTATTTATTGGGAAATTATACTTTTATATGCCACCGCACGTCTTGCTACCGTTGCCGACGGATTGCCACTCAGCGATAAACGCTTCGAAACTGTACAGAATTACTGATTTGTACTTCATGTTTTTCTTGTTGCTGGAAACTGAATTTTTTACACACTTTCGCATAAGTTTGCTTGTGTATATGTATGTACGCTGTCTTATGCGTGGCAAAGTCAAGCAATCAGGGCAGGCGCTGTGTGGAGCAGGATGCCAGCCTAGACACGTATTGCTTTGGTTGTTTTTGTTATCTTATAAGCTGATTTATTGATTATCGATTGGAAGAGACGCATATCAAATAGTAAATAGTAAACAAATCGTTGTTGGTGGCTCATGGTATAATAACTATAAATAAAGGACTCGCCATCATTAATAATCCAGCAAACGGGTGTGTGTGTTGTAGCTCGTTGCTATTAACAAATGAGAAAACTGGGTATGTCTGATACTAATTGAATCATTGGTGATGGGGAGAATGTGGGGCTGTTTAGAAATGTAAATACGTGGTTTTATTGCGGGCTTGGCGTAGACACTTATACAGGGCTTGACCGGAAAGTATTAGGACTTAGCCGATTTAAAAGATTTTATTGAACAATCGTTACAATTCTTTAAATACTTTCAAAATAGGCGCCTTCTGCGTCGATATAGCGCTGTCAGCGTGATTTCCAAGCATTAAAGGCGTCACGGAATTCATTCTCCGAAATAGCCTTGAGAGCCGAGAAGCATGCTGCTTGGGTCCCCTCTGTCGTCTCAAAATGCTTGCCTTTCAACGGCCTTTTCAGGTAAGGAAACAAAAAAAGTATAGGGGGGGGGGGAGGGGGGGTGGGGGTACCATCTGGGCCGTAAGGCGGCTGCGAAAGCGTTGGGATGCCGGCATTTGTTAGTTGGCTGTTCACAAGAAAGGCGGTACACGATGTCTTTGATGTAAAAAAAAAAACATTGAGCATAGTTTTCACTTTGCATTTGCTCATTCATCAGCGACCTCTTCCGGTCCTCATAACACACCGGTCCACCACTTGATCATATCAAACGTCTCCGTCGTAGATTTACTAAGTTTCACTCAGAATGTAATCGCGTACCTCTGCTCTAACGAACGCTGCATTTTCGGCTTGCACAACTCACAGAAACTCAGCGCCCGAAAATGTTTGTCCTGAATCTTCAGGTGCTCGAAGACAACTGATCAGCCGTTCGTTCGTTAGCTAGGAGCGCTCTCTGCCAAATTAAGTTGGTGCGCGCAAGCTTCGAAGTTCAGTCGTTACGGAAGAAAATCAGTCCTTTTACTTTCCGGGCAAACCCTGTACTTTATCTTAACCCCGCTCTTTGTACGTATTAAAAATAGAATAAACCAAGACTATCGGGCATAAAAATTACTTCAACACACTTATATAACATGGTTATAATTCTAAAAGGATCTAAAACTGAGTTATTCCAGCGAAAATAAAAGTCAAAGCAAAACCAAAAAACGGTGTTGACGAATGAATTCACCAGCAGAACTGTTATACATATCGCTTGAAAAGCGCAGCAGCAGCGGGTTTAAGTGCTACTTGCCTTTCATCAAATCTTTACAATTTTTTAGTTTTATTTTCCTTTTCTTTATTCTAATATTTATATACGAAACTGTATTTATAAATTTTGAGTAAAGAAAATAAAAATAGGAAACTTGAGAAAACTTTGTTTTTAGTTTCTTCCTTTTTTGTAACAGTATTCGCCACCCACAGCTTCTAAAGTAGTGCTCCGCTGTCAAAACATTTGTGCAACATGCCACATAAATAGGTTGTAATGAGCAAACACGGGCAGCAGTTCATTCGCTAATGTATCCTGCGGCGATTCGCCACACTTCCTTTTCAGATATTCGCGCATAAAAATACTTACACACAACTACAACTAGTTCATGGGAAGTTGTACTGTATATAAGGGAAGAAATTAATTTGTGCGCATAGCAAACACAGTGAAATACTTTCAACGAAGTTGATCGAACTGTGGCAAGTAGCACGCCGCAAGCAAACCTCTGTGTACATTGCCGATTTGTGCGAGGTCACCAACGTGGCAAACCAGCAAGCTGCCACACATAAATTTATAGAAAATTTAGTAACCAATCGATTTAAGTGCACGTTTCTTCCAGGCCTCTAAATATTTGTTCTCTGTTTCACTCTTCTTCTCATTTTCTGGCAATTTCAATTTGTGTTGGCACAAATCGCCGCACGGAGGCACAAGTGTAAGGTCTTGCTATAATGTTGTTCTTGTAAGTACAACGATTTGATGAAAAACTTCCCGTCGGCGCTGATAAATGTACCGAAAATGCACGGCAAATTATTTCCAAAGTAAGTAAAGTAAGTGAAGTGGAATCGGAAGCGAAACTGAAAGGTTGCAAGTGCAGCAGCAAATCAGCCAACCGCTGTGTGTGCGAAACATACATATATTTTCATCAGGGATCTAAATCCCCCTACCGCAGATGATTACTATTTTTCACCGGGTCATCATGGAACTAGATGGCCATAGATAGCTAAACATATGTACGCTGCCGTGAAATAATTCAGTTAGGAAGCTTTCGTATTTTTCTTAATATCTACTCATACTAGCTCCTAAATATAAAATATGCCAATAATTAATAAAATTGAACAGTAAATCAGAAAATAAAACAGACTCTTTAAATGCTGGTTTCACATAATTGACATTGGCCAAAAACTTCGCTGAAAAATCATTGAATTACCGCAGGGTAGCGGAACGAAAATACGGTTGGAAATTCAGCAGAGGAAGGCAAACACGCAATAATTCAAAATGGGATACTCTGCTGTTATGATATGGCGCTGTGACAGGCCAAAAATGCAAAAGCTGTCACAAGTGCCCTCCGGAGTTGTTGAGATTGTTGAACATGTGATCATTCATGCGGGCACTTTAAGCAGGGCGCGAGCATATGAGCTTAATCTCCTTCGTATATGTATGTGTGCTCATGGACTTTCGGGTGATATACGGAGAGTTGCTGGCACTTCACATGATGCCGTAGAAGGCTTTGCCGAGTAGCGAGTTGGATCGATGTTGAATAGTTCATCACTGGCGAACGCAAAGCTTCAAACTGCCTCTTTTGATTTATAGCAGGAAATAATTGATGAATCTGCTATCTATGTATGTATATGCGCAACAGCACACAGCATAACCAAGCGACAATGATGAGCCAGCAGGGCGTATGAGTTATTTTGACACACTAGAAGCGCGAAATGGTTGCTCATACGCCAAGGTGCACGTCAGTGAAAATAAACAGATTTCAACAGATTTTCAAAACGCAAGTAGTTTTGCAATGCAAATTTTGTATGTATAAGTATAAGCAACGTGTGCGGTTTCACAAAATGAATATCGTGACTGGGTCGGTGTGCGTTGCGTTCGCACACGCACGCTGACATTTGGCAGCAAACAAGGCAATGAATAGCCAAATGCGGCCCGACTGGCGCACAAACTGTGTGGCAAATAGTCGAGTGCGAGGTGTGTGCATCTAGTGTGAGCACGTTTGCAACACGTGCCACAGCGAGAGGTGTTACCTTTGTGGCAAGAAAATAATGCCGGAAATGACAACAGCTGACAAGGTGTCAGAATTTGGAAACTAAATACGAAATTCGATAAAAAATATGTTTCGACATTTTATTGATTGGATTAGATTTCAACTTTGTAATTATTATATGTATGTTTATAGTATATTGTTCCCATTTTCATCAAAGCGAGTTTTATATACTTTTA